GCATTTTAATATGATGTATAACATAACCACATTCATTTAAGAATGTATTCCTATATCAAATGGCAAATGCTAAAACCACAATGACTTTTGTATCAACCTAATAAATCTCTAAGCCAGGTTAACTAAAAAAAATAGAGAAGACACAAATTAATAACAGAAATGAAAAAAATATCATCTATTATGAACCACTCTATGCCCACAAAATTGATAATCCAGATTAAATGCACCAGTTACTCGAAAAAAAAATCTGTCAAAACTCACACAAGAAAAAAGAGACATTCTGTGCAGATCTCCATCTATTAGAGAAAACAAATCAATAATGAATAACCTTCCGAAACAAAGAGCACAGGCCCAGATGGGTTCTTAGTAAATGCTACCCAACAGTCACAGAAGAAATTATGCAGATTCTCTACAGCGCCTGCCAGAAGAGGGAAGCAGAGAGATGACATCCTACCTCACTCTAGGCAGCCAGCACCACCTACTGCCAAAACCAGACAAAAAAAAGAAACTACAGACAGTATCTCTAATGAACGCAGATGCAAAAGTCCTCAATAAAATATTAGCAAATTGAATCCAATGATCACAACAAATTTACACACCACCATCAGGTAGGATTCATTCACAATGCAAGGCTGATTCAACAGCTGAAAATCAATCACTGTGGTCCTTCAAAGCAACAGGCTGATGAAGGACAAATCATATGATCACATCAATAGATGCAAAAAAAAAGAAACCCCAGCATTCAAAAAAAAGCCAACAGTCATTCATGATAAAAACTTTCACCAAAGTAGGAACAGAGAGGAACTCCCTTAACTTGACAAAGAACATCTGCAAAAACTCACAGCTAACATCACACCTAATGGTGAGAAACAGGTGCTTTCCTGCTAAACTCAGGGACAAGGCAAGCACGCCCTGCATCGAGCCTTTTAACATCACACTGGAAGTCCTAGATAATGCAGTAAGACAAGAAATGGATATGGAAGGAATTTAGATTTAGGAGGAAGAAATAAAACTATTCACAGATGACATGATTGTCTATGTTAAAAGTCCCAGAGAATTGGCAAAAACAAACAAACAAACAGACAAAAACTTGTGGAAGTAGTAAGTGATTATAGCAAGGCTGCAGCATACAAGGTGCTATGCGGTGCACCCTGTCCCATCAAAAGATCTGTTGAAGTCCTTGCCCCTAGTACCTCAGAATGTGACCTTATTTGGAAACAAGGTCTTAGATGTTCAAATTAATATGAGGCCATTAGAGTGAGCCCTAATCCTCCATCACTGATGTCCTTATAAAAAGTACAAATTTAGACACAGAGGACAGACATGCACAGGGGGGACACGGCCACTTGAAAGTAGGGGCTGGAGTGATGTGTCTACCAGCCAAGGACACGGGAGTCTAGGGGAGAAGTAGGGAGCGGATTCGCCTTGCAGCCCGCAGCAGGATCCAACCCGCCAACACCTTGGCCTTGGGCGTCCAGCGCTCAGACTGTGAAACAATACATTCAGCTACTTCAAGCAATCCAGTTTGTGCTACTTTGTTATGTCAGCCCTGAGAAACCAACAAACAAGGTTAATAAATAAGACTCAACTGCTTTCTTAGATGCCAGCAATGAACAACTGGAATTTGAACTTAAAAACACAATACCACTTACATGAGTATGGGAAAATGAAATAGGTGAAAGTATAACAAAATATACACAAGATCTACATGAGTAAAACTGGGAAACTCTCATGAAAGAAATAAAAGAAGAACAAGATTGAGAGATAGTCCATGTTCATGAAATAGGAAGGCTCAGAATCATCATGAATTTCTCCCCATTTGATTTAACGTAATCCCAATCCACATCCTGGCAAGTAATCTTGTGGCCATCGACACACCGATCATACACTTCACTCAGAGAGGCGCAAGCCATAGGACGCTAGGGACAAGAGCAAAGTCAGGGCCGAAGTCCTCATGGCTGTGCAGCGAGCAGGGCAGTGTGGCACTGGGGAGGGAGTGGGCAGACGGGCTGAGGCACAGGACAGACCCACGCCAATATGGTTAACTGATCTCGGACAAAGGAGCAAAGGAAATTCAACAGAGAAAAGCCAGTCTTTTCACCAAGTCATGCTGAATAAGTGGACATCCATTTGCAAAAAAATAATAAAAATAATCTAGACACAGGTCTTACAACTTTCACAAAACTTAACTCAAAGTGGATCGTGGACCTAAATATTCAATGCAAAACTATAAAACTCCTAGAAGATCACATAGGAGGAAACCTAAGTGACCTTGGGTTTGGTGATGACTTTTTGGAGCACATTCATAAAAGAAAAAGTTGGTAAGTTGGACCTCATTAAAATCAAAGCCTGCTCTGTGGAAGACACTACTAAGAGAACGCAAAGAGCCACAGACTAGGAGAACATATTTGTAAAACACGTATCTGACAAAGGACTGTTACCCAAAACATACAAAGGACTCTTAAAACTAAACAATAAGAAAACAAACAATCTGATGAAAAATGTGCAAATTAGCTAAACAGATATCTCACCAAAGATGATACACAGGTGGCGAATAAGTACATGAAAAGATGCCACACATCACGTGTCTTTGGGAACCATGAATTGAAACAGCAGCGAGACACCACCTGTTGGAGCAGCCAAAATCCGGAACACTGACAGCACCAAATGCTGGTGAGGGTGTGGAACAGGGACTCCCACTCACCACTGCTGGGGACACAAAACGGCACCATCACCTTGGAAGACAGTCTGGCAGTTTCCTGCAAATCTAAACATACTGCTGCCACACAATCCAATATCAATCTCTGTGGTATTTGTCCAGATGAACTGAAAACTTATGTCCACATAAAACCTTGCACATGGATGTTTACAGCAGCTTCATGCATAACTGCATCAGCAGGTGAACGGATAAACGGTGGTGCATACAAACAATAGAATATTACTCAGTGATACAGAGAAATGCGCTATCATGACACGAAAAAACATGAAGGAGCCTTAAATGCGGTTTACTGTGTGAAAAAACCTGACCTGAAAAGGCTATAATACTGTACGGTTTCAACTACAGGATGTTCCAGAATACACAAATGCACACACACAGCAAAAAAGATGAGGGGTTTTGTTGGGGGCAGAGAGGACTGAGCATGTGCAGCACCTGAGGGCAGTGGAGCCACTCTGTGTGACACTGCGAAGGCAGACATGTGGCATCAGAACGCAGGACACAGTAACAACGCACCAACTAGCTCCTCAACCGCAACACCTATGCAAGATGTTAGTAACAAGGGAAAGGGGGCAATGGGTGGATGCGTGGGAATTCTCTATACTTCCTGTGCAGTTTTTCTACAAACTGAAAACTGCTCTGAAATATAAGCCTATTGCACTGGACTGAATGTGCATGTTCCCCCAAATTAATATGTTGAAATCCTCATCCCCAACATGGTTCTGGGAGGTGATTAGGTCAGGGGGTAGGGCCTCACAAGTAGGATTCGTGTCCTTATAGAAGGGACCCCAGAGAGCCCCCTCGCCCTCTCGTGTGAGGACAAAGCGAGAACCTGGCAGTCTGCAACTCAGAAGAGGCCCTCATCAGACAGACCAAGCTGCACACTAAGCTCAGGTTTCAGCCTCCAGAACTGTGAGAAATAGTCTGTTTTTGTAAGCCACCCTGCCTCTGGTACACTGTCACAGCAGTCCAAGTGAAGATACCTACTGATTGTAAAAGACTCCCAACCCGGAATTCCCCAGATTGGGTGTGAGGACTAAGCCCACATGTTACAGTTCACCTGGGGAAGATGTCTGAAGTTCGTTTTCATTGAGCAAGCCACAAGCTCAGCTGTTCCATGGAAGTTATGGTAGATCCAGAGGACAGTGAGGCCCTGGGACCCCCTCCCTGGAGCCCAACACACCCTCGCCCCTCACGGCAGCCCATGATGACAAAGGGCCATGCAGAGGAGTCTCTCCTGGGTCCAATCTGCAGGCAGACAGCACAAAGGGCCCGCGTGCACTATGCCACTTCTCTGCCTCTAAAGTTGCTTCTCCATAAACCACAGGCTTAGGCTGGACGCTGGTGGGATGGATGTCAGCACTCCCTCTGCACAAAGGGAGTGCACCAGCCAAAGGAAAGAAAAACTAAGACAATGAGCAGAAGTACCAGGGTCCCAGGTGCAGCTGTCTACACAGCAGTTGGTCTGGTTTGAAACAGCAGGGGAAGGCGGCATCTGAGGAACAGGAGATCTTGAGGATTCGGATCCATTCCTGAGACATCAGAAGTCAGCAAAGAATGGCATGCGGCCAAACCTGGCCCACAGCTGTTTTTGTAAGCAAAGTTTTATTGGAACACTGTCATTCGCTTACCTATTGCTATGGCTGCTTCCACAGCACAAAGGCAGAGCTGGATGCTGAGACGTAGATTATATGGCCCACAGAGCCTGAAACCATTACTCTCTGGTCATTTACAAAAAAAGCTGGGGGAAGGCGCAGGGGGCAATGTGGGCACGGGGCAGCACGGGCAGGGGCAGTGCAGGCGGGAGCAGGCTCTCCCACCAGAAGGGGAGACAGGAAGGGCATATCCCAGAACGGTCTAGGGGTCTCAGAGGTGTGGAGGAGGAGGGCGTGTGCAGTACGACTAAATCATGCCTGTCCAGGCAGGTGTTAAAGTGTTCACATCCCAAAAGGGGATCTGGCTGCGTGAGATGAGGAAGCAGTCCAGACAAACATGGAGGTCGCCACGGCCCCAGACGTGAAGAGCAGCCAAGGAGGGGCAGCCACTGTTCCTCGCCGTGACCCCTCCATCTCCTTACACATATTGCTTTAATAAACACTTCAAATAGCAAAAACTAACTTTCAGAGAGTGTGGGAAATGGGGTGAGAGCCCTGGCCGTCGCTCTCCCCTCCCCTGCTGGCACCTGCCCTTTGAGCGTGACAGCTCAGGAGCTATGGCGCTGGGTTACTTGTCCCACCTGCAGGCGGCCTGAAGCCTTCCCTAGCTCCACCACATCTGTTCATACCTTCCAACTTTCAGAGCGGCAGGGATGCTTTCCCCTGAGCCGGGTGAGTCCTCCGAAGTGAAATGCAGCTGGGAAGCCTTCCTCTCACTCTCTCTCACAGGACGGTCGTCTAGGAGAGAACGTGCAGGACTGTGGAGGGCAGGCGGTGGCACCGTCTTCCACCCTGGTGCACACCGCAGGGCAGGGCAGGGCAGAGCACCCATTCCCTCAGGCCTGAGCCTGCCCCATGGGCCCAGGGCAGGAATACTGGGCTTTGAGGAACACGTGGTTTCCCAGCAATGCCAGCGTGATGCTGAGGCTGCCTGCTCTCCCAGAGCAGGAAGCACAGCAAGCCAACAAGGGTCACACACGCCCCTTTCAGTGAGCACACTGGGCCACAGACCCCCGACTGTCCTGCCAGCCCCTGCCAAGCAGTGACCATCCCGTGGGACACAGGACATGCTGGCATCACGGGAGGTGGGCACGGATGGGCCACAGCCCCACCAGACACTCTGCACCACCACCCCTGGCTGGGCTGTCCTGGGCAGCCGAGCGCCTGCACAAACGGAACCTGCCCAACTCAGGGAAGTCCAGCCAGGACTCAGGGCTCCTCTATGAGTTCCTCAAATCACTTTCAGAAGGTTGGAGAAAAACTGTTTTGACAGTTAGTTATTAAACAAGTGGTCTGGCCATGGTCTGGCTGTGGCATTCTCACCAGGGGACTTCTCTAAGAGAGTTCTAATCCCCGTCACTGACCTGTGCTGTCACAAGATGGGCCTGAAACAGAAGGGCCCTTTGCATTCACTTTTAACAGACAGTTTTCAGTCTCCAGAAACCTATCCGAGGTACGAAGCAATGCAGCACGTGCACACATGTGGAAGATGACTCCATGGTCAAAACTCCCCAGGCCCCTCAGTGATATAACCGCCCGAGTCCAAACACAACAGCTCCAGGCAGCCTGGCCCGGCCCCAGCTCAGCATCCACCCACGAGGCACTCGGCTGCTCCTCGACCTGCGTTCTCACCTAGGAGATGGGCTGGGAAAGGATAGGCGAGCCCAGGTGTGCACAGCCTTCGCTCCATGTCACAGACTTACGTGGTTGAAAGGTGAGGCCCACCCTGCCTTTACCTCACGGGCATAAGAAAGTCCTAAGCAGCCCCCAGCAGTCGGCACACAAGGGCCAAGCAGATACATGCACAGACAGCAAGCAACACACCCAGGCTACATTAGCCTCCTCTTGCTGTTTACTTAACTGACACCCAAATCTCAGTTCTCAGCACTCGAACGCTATCTACGGCAGCAGAGAACAAGCTTGTTCAGGGCATGTACAGTGAGGGGAAGTGTTCTGTCCTCTGTTGATTCTTTTTTATTTTATTTTATTTTTATTTATTTATTTTTTTGAGACAGAGTCTTGCTTTGTTGCCCAGGCTAGAGTGAGTGCCATGGCATCAGCCTAGCTCACAGCAACCTCAAACTCCTGGGCTCAAGCAATCCTGCTGCCTCAGCCTCCTGAGTAGCTGGGACTACAGGTATGCACCACCATGCCCGGCTAATTTTTTCTATATATATTAGTTGACCAATTAGTTACTTTCTATTTATAGTAGAGACGGGGTCTGAGCCTCTTGCTCAGGCTGGTTTTGAACTCCTGACCTCGAGCAATCCGCCCGCCTCGGCCTCCCAGAGTGCTAGGATTACAGGCATGAGCCGCTGTGTTGATTCTTAATTTTTGCTAACTGGCTGGGTTCAGAAGGAGAGCTCAGTTCTGACGGTGTGCATGGCAGGTCTGATGCTAGGAACAGAAACACCTGCAAATGTCAGGGCCCCTGGGTCCCGCCGAGCACTGTCCCAGGAACGCACAGACACCAACCCCAGGTCTCCTCACCACGACCCTGTGACTTCGGCATTCTGACCACCCCTTCATATGGGGACTGAAGGCAAGAGACCACAAACCCTCTCCTTCCCCATGGCCCCCATGGGCAGTATGCCCTTGGGCTGAGGCCTGGTTCTCTCCCTGGGTATGTGACTTGGGCTGGGATTAACAGAGATACTGCCACAGTGCTCATGGCAAGAGAAACTGACTGTGGCCGCCCCAACCCCAGGACTCTCTCTAAGGGGCTACGGGGCCCTAGAAGCTTCTGCCTACAAGACTGCTGCAGACGTGTCTTTTAGGAACACAAAGCTGTGAAGCCAAATGGCCACTGCACCTTGTCTCCTCTCATCCCTGCCACCTGGGGGCACAATGAAATCCTGGCCTGTGTCCTTCCAGATGGATGCAAGCCAGGTGGAGCCCAGCTGTCCAGCTGAGCCTGAGAGGATGCCCAGCAGCCGTGCAAGGAGGGTTGGAGACGCTCTGGACCCAGGACAAATGGCTCCAGGGGGGAGCACCGCTCAGGACGGGGTAGCCTGGCCACGGCCCTGCTGCCCCGTCCTGCAAAGACGCAGGGCTGCTAGAGCTGTGGTCTGCAGGGATTCACACCATCAACGCAGAAGACCAACGTCCCTGTCCAGCAGGAATCCCAGAGTGACCCAGCTAAGAGCACAAGGCTCCTGTCAGGGCAGCACCCAGCAGGAGCCTACCCAGCTGTCGGAGCTTGGGGAGCAGGCGCACAACAAAGAGGCGGTAATCGGACTCGTTCTTCACAACAGGGTTCAGCCGGAAGTCCACGTCTACGAGCTCAGTTAGGGGGTGGAGCCGGAAGACTTCCGCCAGCGAGGAAATGCAGTTGTAGTAGAGGCTGAGACTCTGCAGCCCAGTTAGGTACTGGATGCCCTGGCAGAGGAAACACGCCAAGTCAGCTACACTCCAGCCACCACACAACCTAACAAACGCACTTGCAATGTGCACCTGCTGTTCACCAGGAAAAGCTTGAAATGCAATGTGTTCTCACCTGTAAAGTTCTCAGTGCTTTACACAGTGAAACAACCACGCAGGGAAATATAAAATGCCATGTCTCCCACCGTCGTTAAGCTAAGTGATTTACATGCATGATCTCCTCTAACCTGCATTCAGCCTTGTAGGGTAAGAGCGGCCAGTGCCACCACCACATAGGTTAGGAGGCAAGGCTTGGGGCAGTGGAGAGATGTGGCTGGAGCCTGCATGCGACTGGGAGCCCCCTCCTAGGCCCTGGGTCAGATGTGCTCTCTACACAGCACCATGTTCCAGGGCAGGAGTTCACGCCATGAGCAGGGTTTACACAACGTCCCTCTGCCACCCGCATATGACTTCCCACCAGGACAAGCGCCTGCCCCTGCTGGGCACATGGCTGGACTGCCATTCGAGGCAGTCCAAAGAGCTGGCCTGGGAATGGAGACAGAGTGCGGAAAGTGGAGCTGCACCCACACGTCAGTCTTTAGGGTCTTATCTTTTTTCATCAGAGGACTAGGGCAGGAGGCAATGTGATGTGTAAGAAATCTAGCTCACAGTAAACATGGGAAAAACAAGAGAACACTTCTAATCACTGCACGTGTACAGTTTACAAGTCTGACAAGCACAGTTACAAAAGATTGCATCTTTTACCCTAAAAGTACCTTCCACTGATAATGATGGCAATACATTTTCTTGTAAGAAACAACCCTGAAACTTACCTCCAGGCTAACCAAGGAGTTGCGAGAGAGATCTAAAGATTTCAGACCTGCTAAATTCATCAAAGAATTTCCTAGGTGAGTAATCTTCTCTTGGTAAGTTCCAGGAATAGATAAGGACTGAAGCTCAGCTAAGAATAAAAAATTATAAGATGTTAGTCTTTTTATCAAAAAAAAAGATTATAACAAAAGTCCCAATTCTTAGGTTTTGGAAATACAGCAGATACTGACAAGGATTCTTTGACCAAACTTTACTCAGGACCTGAATCTTCTCCTAGGCCACCTGCACACCTCCTTACAAAATCCAGTTTTATCAAAAGCCCAGCCACATCAGTTTAGCAAGAACCCTACCCTCAATACCTGGGCAGATTCCCCACTGCCAGCACGCAGGTGCTGTCTGCTGCCCTGGCCTGCCCTCAGCACAATCCTGCCGGGTCAGTTCAGCCAGACCCGCCCACGCTTCCCTGCAGTGACCTTACACCCTGCTATGACCCCCCACTTGTCCTTGCTGTGGAGAGCTGAACCTAGTCTTCCCTGACTGCAAGACCCTGTTTTCTCATCCTTGAACCTACAGCGATGGTCCTGGATCAAGTCTTCCTTACCACGCTTTAACAAGTATCACTGAATAAATTTTTCTTTAATAACACACATAAGAAGAATGAAGGAGGCCGGACGTGGTGGCTCACGCCTGTAATCCTAGCACTTTGGGAGGCCAAGGCGGGCGGATTGCTCAAGGTCAGGAGTTCGAAACCAGCCTGAGCGAGACCCCGTCTCTACCAAAAATAGAAATAAATTAATTGACCAACTAAAAATATATATACAAAAAATTAGCCGGGCATGGTGGCGCATGCCTGTAGTCCCAGCTACTCGGGAGGCTGAGGCAGTAGGATCGCTGAGCCCTGGAGATTGAGGTTGCTGTGAGCCAGGCTGATGCCACGGCACTCACTCTAGCCTGGGCAACAAAGAGACTCTGTCTCAAAAAAAAAAAAAAAAGAAGAATGAAGGGAAAGACAATTGTTAGTACATTTATCCTACCGTGGAATAAATCCCTTTATCCTCCTCATGTATTTCTGTATTTTCCAAGTTTTCTTAGGGAGAGGTACACTAACCTCATAATCTGAAAGTGTCACTTAGAAAAACAATGCAACTCATCCAAGATTTGAACGTGGTTACCAAGAGTGAGGCCTGCGTTCCACGTTCCTGCTCACACTTCTTTCCAGTTGTCCATGCCTCTTGACAGTGCCTCCTCCAGACCCCTCACCAGGAACCCCCTCGTAACTGACCCCGACTCCCACTCCAGCTGCTCACCCCTCACCCCGCGTGGCCTCTGCACAGGGATCACCTCCTGAAGCCCCCAGCCCACCTGGCCACGTCGTCCCCAGCACAGCCGAGGGCAGGCTTTGCACGCCCTGTGCACCTCAGACACCTCTGCGAGGTGCACTCAACAGCAACCACTGGGTGATCAACGTAACTACAAAAATAAAAGTTTCCGTAACCAAAAAGACAGTGTGGATCCGAATACACCAATTCCTTCCCAGGAAAATTTACGTTTTAAAATATGTGTTACATTTACAATTTGGTCTGAGCACTTCCAGTTCCTGACAAGACAGACACATTCCACCTATCCCTCTCCACCTACCACACTTAAGCACCTGGAAAAACATAGGAAACAAGCCCTGGAAGACTATGAAAGGAGGGAACAGAGGACAACTGTCCAGGGACCTCAGGACTCAAGAAACAACCTGGTGGTGAGTTCCCTCGGTTGATTCTGGGTTTGTCTCTTGTACATCCCAGTCTGAGTGCCAAAGAAGTTGGCAACCCAGAAATACCAGGAGACATAGACCGAAAAACAAGATAAGCCTGCTTTTTTCAGTCAAATGACCAGGAGGGGACCTTGCAGGACAAACTCTTTTGACATCATCAGCCCTACTCCAATCTTACACCAAAAAAAAAAAAATAAATAAATAAAAGCACCTCATACACCTGGTTCTGTGTAAGGGCCGGCCCCAGGACTGTGTGAGTGGACCCTGACCACTGGCCTGGCCTGGCTGTGACAAGTGGGCGCCTCTCACCTCCTGGCCCGCAGGAGTCTGTCCAGGGCTGTGTGTGAGACAGGAGCCCAGCTACCATCCCAAGGCAGCACCCAGCAGGTGCTAGAATGAGCACGGATTTTTAAATAGGAAGCAATGTCTCACAAAATAATACCAAAATGTCCAAAACATAATAAAAATGATCAAAACCCAGAAAAATCTCAATTTGAATGAGAAAACACAATCAACAGAGACACCAACAATAAGATAACAAAGAAGTCAGAATTACCTAACAAGGATTTTAAAGCAATTGTCATAAAAATTACTTCAATGAGAAATCATGAGTACTCTTGAAACAAATGAAAAAACCAGAAAGTCTTAGCAAATAAACAGAAGATTTAAAGAAGAAACAAACAGAAGTTTCAAAAATGAAAAATATAATAACTGAAACCAGAAGAAAACTATCGCAGAAGCAGTGCACAGCAGAGTGGAAGAGTGAGCACCAAGACACAGTGACCTGAACTGTCCAGTCTGATCAACAGGGGAAACGCAAGCTGAAGGAAAAACACGAACAGCCTCAGGTACTTGTGGGAGACAAAAAAGAGATCTAACATTCACTAATGCCACTGGGAGCTCCAGCAAAATTTCAGAATTCCAAAGAGAAAAGAAAGACAGTGTGGCTAAAAGGAAAAATGTTTTTAGTTGAAGAAATAATGGCTGAAAACTTCCAAATTTGGTAAAAGGCACAAACCCAAATATTAAAGAAACTTAGAAAATCTCAAATAGAATAAACCCCAAAATGCCATTACCTAAAGCAGAAAACAAATCACAGGGCAGCAATTACTCTTCAGAAACCATGGAGGCCTGAAGGAACAGCACAACATTTTCTAAGTGCTGAAAAAAAAGAACTTTCAACCCAGAAATCTATATTCCTTTGGGATTGAAGGCAAAATAAAGATATTATCAAAGAAAAATGAAGAGAACCTGTCATCAGCAGACCTACCTGAAGATAATTAGAAGAAAAGACAAAAGAAGGAAACCTGGAACATCAGGAATGAAGAAAGAATAATAAAACAGGTAAATGTGGATAAATGTCTCCAAGTTTTTAAATATCTACGTTTTTAAATTTTAAATGTTGTAAAAAATTGTGTCATTAATGTATTTATGATGGTATGTAGAGGAAATAGTTAAGACAACTAATTCTACATGGTAGTAAGGTTTCTACATTTCACTTGGAAGTGGTAAGATACTCATACAAGTAAATTGTGTTGAATTACATAAATATACTATAATTTGTAGAGCAACCACTATAAAAACCATGCAAAGAAATATGCTCCAAAACTTAAGAGATAAATTAAAATGGATACTACAAATATCAAGTAAACTACAGAAAGGCAGGAAAGGGAAATAAAAGAACAAAAAATTAAAGGAACAATAAAAAACAAGAAAATGGCAAATTTACATTCTAACATATCAATAACTACATTAAATGTAAATAGTCCAAATGCATTACTATTAATACAAGACAGAGATTAGCAAAGGGGATAAAAATAATGAAAACCAAGAAACTAATTAGAAATATAAGGATATAGGTAGGTTAAAAGGTCAAAATAAATAGATGAGAAAGATAATGCCATACAAACACAATAAAGAAAGCTAGAGTAGCTATGCTAATGAAAAATAAAGTAGATGTCTCAACAAAGAAACTTACCACTGACAAAGAGAAATAGTACATATACTAAAAGGGTCAGTACACAAACAAGGCATAAAAAATCATGGCTTCCGCCAGGCATGGTGGCTCATGCCTGTAATCCTAGCTCTCTGGGAGGCCGAGGCGGGTGGATTGCTCAAGGTCAGGAGTTTGAAACCAGCCTGAACAAGAGTGAGACCCCATCTCTACTATAAATAGAAAGAAATTAATTGGCCAACTAATATTTAGAAAAAATTAGCCGGGCATGGTGGCGCATGCCTGTAGTCCCAGCTACTCGGGAGGCTGAGGCAGAAGGACTGCTTGAGCCCAGGAGTTTGAGGTTGCTGTGAGCTAGGCTGATGCCATGGCACTCACTCTAGCCTGGACAACAAAGTGAGACTCTGTCTCAAAAACAACAACAACAACAACAAAACATGGCTTGAAAACACATGAAGTGAAAAGAAAAATAGACAAAATTACAATTGTAGCTAGGGGTTTCAATACCCTTCTCTCAATTAATAGAATCACTAGGCAGAAAATCAGCAAGGATACAGAAAAACTGAACAGCACCCAGCCAAGAGGACCTACTGATACATAACATTATACTCAACCGCAGAATACACATTCAAGTGCACTTGAAACATTCAACAACTTAGACCAGATCTTGGATGATAAAACAAACCTTGACAATTTAAAACAATTAAAATTAGACAGAGTATGTTTTTTGCTCATAATGGAATCATACTAGAAGCAATAACAAACAGAAATAACAGGAAAATCATCAAACACATGGAACCTTAAAAACACTCCTAAATAATCCGTAGTCAAACTGGACATCTCAAGAGAAATTCTTAAAACATGCTGAACTACATGAAAACAAATATAACGTAACAAAACTTACGGATGCAGTTAAACTGGTGCTTAGAGGAAAATTTACAACACTAAATATTTGTATTAGAAAATAAAGTCTCAAATCAATAATCTAAGTTTCTACCTCAAGACTCAAGAGCAAAATAAGCAGAAAGAAAGAAATAATAAAGAGCACAAATCAACAAAATTTGAACACAGAAAAGCACTGGAGAAAATGAATCAACCCAAAAGCTAGCTCTTTGGAATGACCAATAACATTCACAAACATCTAGCAAGACTAAACAAAGATTAAAGACACAGAATGGAAGAAGAGATCATGAATGGAAGAAGAGATATCCCTACAGATCCTACAGCCGTTAGTGAAATCACAAAATCACAAATCACATAATAGGCTAAAAACAGAATACTATAAACAACTCCATACACATGAGTTTGACAACGTAATCAATTCACAAAAACCCCAATCAAAACTCACTCAAGATGAAACTAATAACATGAACAGTTCTAAACAACAGAGATATACAATTTGTAACTCAAAAATTTCAAAAATAGAAATTTATAGGCCCATATGGTTTCAGAGGAAAATTCTGTGAATCCTTCAAAGAATTAGCACGAATTCTACACAACCCCTTAAACGCCACACGAAAAGGCAACACTTCTCCACAAAGTTTACGAGCTCAGCTTCACTCTGCTGCCAAAAACAGTACAAAAAGAAACAATAAAACTAGCTACCAATATCCCTCATGAAAACAGAAAAATCATCAGAGAAATAAGACCAAAGAGAATCCAGGATGGAGAGAAGGAATTCTACCGCAGGAGGGGATTGGACATTCTTCTAGGAAGGCAAGGATAGTTTGATATTTCATCAGTCTGATGCTCCCTTTCATGAAACCCACGAGCTCTTACTGGAGTAAAGCCAAAAGGCGGGTGCCCAGGCGCTCAGCACAGCGGACAGAGGCCGCACCACCTGGGCCGCACCTCTGGACCCCTTCTACCAGAGGCGGCACCTGCGCAGGGGCACCCCCCGCCGCCGGTCAGGGCCCCCAGGCAGGCGAGCTCCGTGCCGCACCCCTGCCCCGCGCACCCAGGTCCCGGTGAGGCGCCAGGCCGCTCTTCGCCCGGACCATCTCCTCGGTCAGCACCAGCTTCCGGGCCGCCGGCGCCATGTTCTCAATCGCGACGCTGGGGCGCCTGCGCAGTGGGCGGGGCCTCGGCGGGCGCGACCAATAGCCCAGCGGGGTGAGCCTGAGTGGGCGGTACCAACGTCCTGGTCCGTGGGGGGCCCTGAGGACCCAGCCCCGTCTCCCTTCCCCTCCTGCCCCGGGACCCCGCCCATTGAGGGCCGCCCCCTCCTCTCCAGCCACCGCCCCCAGTATCTGGTTCCCAGCGTTCTCCCTGAGTGAGGCTCTGGCCGGTGGACTCCCCTCTCGGTCTTGAGGCTGTGGCTCCTCCACCCACCACGTGCTGAAGTCCACCTGTTTTTCCCTTTGAGGGCCCCTGACCAGCTTTCCCCGGGGAAGCGACAGTTAGCGGTGTAGCGGGGTCTCCAGGTGACAGGCGGCCCACCCTGCACAGGCTGGGGTGTGAGCCCAGGGCCCCAGGGATGACCCTCATAGCCTTTCTCCTGGTGTTTAGGGGCCCCCGGAGCCCCCCCCCCAGATTAGATGGGCCTGCCGGTAACATCCGCTGCATGTCACAGCCCTGGTGGTGACGGGCCGTGTCCTGGTGGAGTGCGAGGGGGTGGGGCAGGGCAGCAGTTGGGTGGTGCAGGCGGAGGGGGTGTGTAGGGCCGGGGGTGGCGGACGCAGGGTCTGGGCATCTCCCTGAGCAGAGTCTACCTTCACTCCTGAGCACCTGCCTGCCCCAGGGCGCCCTTCTGTGCTGGCTCTGGGTGTGCAACAGGAGCAAGGCCCATGGCCCCTTGGACTCAGGCTGGCTGCCCCATGTGAGGACACATGTGTCTTCACTGACAACCAAGGAGGACTCCAAGGGGGTCCCACTGTGATCCTGAATTTAGACTCTGGAGCTGTGGGGACTGACGACCCTCCCGGCTGACACCGCAGCCCTCATGCCGAGATGCATCTGATTATTGAGACTACCCAATACCCAATGCTACTTTGAGTAAAGTGTCCTGTAACTCTCACAAAGATCCCAAACCCAGATGCTGTACCCTGTTCCCTTCCTACGAGACTCACAGTGTTTGGGCACAGCGGAGGCCAGTCCAGTCACTACACCTGGTACCCAGTGAGTGGAACTGTACAGCCAGGAAACTAGAAACAGTGAACAAATATCCCGCTTTTCAGAAGCAAACAAAGGCACACAAAAGGCTTCCATGAGCCTCCACCCAAGAGAGGTGGCTTTTCAGGACACAATCCAAACTCTAAACATGTGCTCCCTCCTCCTGGACAGGTCCCCAGCTGACGGCAGGGCAGGTCAGGCCAGGCAGCCAGTGGGGACAGAACCACCTGGGGTCAGCTGCTCTACTGTGATGGAAGTGCCAATGGGAACTTCAAAAATGAGGTTTTCTGCTTACCGAAGTATTGCATCTCACGGTAGAAAATACAGAAGAGAACAGAGATCCAATATGCCAGCACACAGAAGTAACTAACACTAACATTTCCACACATGTCCTTCAAGTGGTTTTACAAGCCTCCACATATTTTGCAAGATGAGATTATGCTAAGCATTGTCATATATATCCTTGTCACTATTCCTTAACATGATCTATTAAATGTCAGCTTTAATGGTCACATTAGATCATGAGCTAAACCCAAATTTATTTAACCCATCTTCTATTGCTGGACATTTCATCTGTTTCCACTTTTGTATGGTGATAAATCTAGATGGACTTATGTCAGTCTGGGATGTTCTCTTGATGCAGTGGTGCTGGATCGAGTGGGGTTGGATTTCACGAACTTGGTGTTTGATGGTCCGAGCCAGGGTTGCAGGGACCCCGGAGCAAAGTGGAGGAACTTAACCTGCCCACCCAGCTCACACTCCCACGATTAGTAGCACCAAAGAGAGGAGTAATCTGGGAACACCCATGGCTATTCCTGCCTGATGCCTGCAAAGCAGGTGGACCCCTCCCCGTCTCCCAGGTCCTCCCACAGCTCTGACCCCAGCTGTGTTAAAATCTGGAGTTTCTAGACTATTACAGGGAGGCTTCCAGGTCCCCTTCCCACCTCAATTGCCAAGCCTGTGGGCACCAAACTGCAGGATCAGGTGTCCCTAAAGAGACGGGCCAGAGGGAGGGGACAGGGACACCTACACAGGCCAGTGAGGGCAGGACGGGGGGAGGGGGAATGGTGGCCTGAGGGGTCTGCACTTTCTCTAAACCATGAGAAAGGTGGGGGTGGGAGGAGGCTTCAAAGTGTAATGGGTGTGCTCTAGAGGGATGGGGAGGCCCATCCCAGTGACGGGAGCTCATCCCAGCCCCTCAGTCCCCAGTGTCCCCATCAGAGCCGTGCAGAGCAGCTACTGTGGGGTCTGCTGGCCTGTCAGCCCGACTAGCACCTGGTGCTGGAGCAACATGTCTCTCCACCTGGTGTTAGAGCCTGTGCATGCGGCTGGCAAGGATGCAGACAGACACACAGCGGCCACTGGTGTGGCTGGGCTGAAAGTCAGCAGCACTGTGGACCCCGGAACCTCCCAAGACCAATCAGGAGTCCCGCACAGCCATGCCTGCTGGCTGGAGCGGCTGGAAACACACATGCACACGCTCACACATCCTCACCCTTGCTCAGGCCATGTGTACATGCTCACAGGTCACACCCACACACACATGCACTGGACCACAGTGTGCTCACAGTCCACATGCACACTCCTGCACACTCACATCTGTCACTCACACTCGTCATATGCATACTGACATTGGTGCACATGTGCATGCACTCGCAGGCACTTCCACAGTCTCACACTCACATGCACACTCACACACAAACCCCTAGTGCCAGCACACAGCCGGAGGCTCCTACTCCAATGCAGAAGCCCAGCAGGGCCAGTGCAGGGGCCCCTGTGAGCTGGCTGAAGACGTGGGCCACACACAGCTGCACCTCGGAGGGAAGAGCCGTGGTCAAGGCTGTAGCCGCGTCCTTGAGAAGGCGAGTTGGAGGGAAGGGGGATGCCCACCCTCGCCCCACGGCTCCCCTGGGCAAGGGCCAGCTGCTCTCTTTGCTGTGGTTACATTTCCTTCTCGTGCTCATTTATTCATAAATGGTGAACAAAAGAACTCTTTTCCCTAGCTGTATCTCTAGCAGTTAAGATCAACATCGGTATCTGTGAATTGTCAATATAGCATTTTACCAACTAATCTTTTTCCAAAATGTGGAATGAGATGGCATGCCAGGCCCTCTCTGGGCTGGCTTAGTGTCGGCACAATTGAGGCTGGGCTTGGGGGTCCCCTGCATCTGAACATCTTAACGAGGGGGAACGCGTCGTCCACAGTAACGCGTCGCTGTGTGTGTTTGTTAGTGACGTGCAGGAGGGGCTCTGAGGCAAGCTGGTGGGCGGGCAGGGGTGGCCCTGTGCCTGTGGACATCTGGGTGGCGGAGGAGGAAGTCTGAGCGTCTGATCTGGGCCGTGACATCAGCGTGTCTGGTAAACACCTCCACTGCACACAATTCCTGCCTCGCTTCTGGAAGGTAAGGTTTCAGAATGAGTGGTCCCAGGCCTTCTGCTTGCAGAAGCCAGCAGGGTCTGGGGACCACGAGCTGCAGGTCAGGGGTCCCTGGGGAAGGGGCCCTGTCGCTGTAGGCAGGAGCCCCCTACCAGTGGGCAGTCACAGCACTCACCCCCACGGGCAATCAGAAAATGGGTGTTTCCAAGCCCTGATGCAGGGCGTGACCATGCTCGTGTGTTTGTGAACCTTTGGTGCAGTTGAGGTAGCACTGAAGGCACAAGTAAAGCCCAGTGACGCTGGCCTGACCGTCGGGAAGCACTCGTGGGCCCAAGGCGAGTATAAGACGTCATGGGGGGGAAGACGGTGCCAGCCCAGGGGAGGAGACCCCTTTCCACGTGGGGGTGTGGGTGTCAGGCCGGCAGGAGTTGGGGCAATTGGACCCCACCTGCCCAAGGCTCAGAGGGGGCAGCCTCCGGAGGCATGCCTCTGCCTCTGCCAGAGTCGGGACAGTTTGTGTGGATGAAGGAATGGGTCAGCAAGGAGCACAGACAGAAATTTGCAACAGAAATAACTGACTTCCCAACTGCAAAGCGAGTGAGAATCCTGGTAGCTGCACTGAAGCCGCCTGCACTTTCTCTTTTCTAATTGCCGCTAATTGAAATGAGTAGCTGGTGAGAGACCACTGGAACCTGAACCAAATCTGAACTCATCCCTGAAGGTCGTATCCAGAAAAATAAGACGGAAGTGAAGGGTGAGCTTTGCCTCCCAGAAGCATCCAGCCTGTGAGGCAGCATGAGCATAAAGGGCTGCTTGTGGAAATGTCCATGAAACCAAAGAACGCCCCATGCTAGTGCACTGCACGTCTGTGCTCCTCCCAAGTCCACGTTAAAGCCGACTCGGCTTTGGGAGTGACCAGGGTGAGGTGGAGCATCTCGACGGGTCGGTGCCTGTACAGGGGCCAGCGAGAGCCCTCGCTTGAAACAGACTGGCCGTCACCCGGATCTTGCACTTGTCAGTCCTCAGAACTGTGGAAAGCTCAAGCCCCCCACCTGTGGCATTCAGTTACAGCAGCCAGAACTGACTGAGACACCCCCAAAACCTGCATGCACGCCCTGGCAGCTCTGACCGCTACCTCACATGGCTAAACATGTGATTAACTCTAGGATCTCCAGAGGAGTTTGTCCGGATTCTCTGTGCTGGCCTTAAACACAGTCCTGTGTGTCTCATAGGAGAAGGGGGGATGGGGCGGAGGCGTCCTGGGGCCACCGGAGCTGGGAGAGGCGGGAGGAGCACAGCCCTGCCCACACCTGGATCCCGGCTTTGGCTCCAGAACTGTGAGAGAGTACGTTTGTGTTGCTGTAAGCCGCTGAGTCTCTGGTAGTCTGTCAAAGCAGCCACAGGGCCGGGCGCTGTGGCTCACGCCTGTAATCCTAGCTCTTGGGAGGCCGAGGCGGGCGGATTGCTCAAGGTCAGGAGTTCGAAACCAGCCTGAGCAAGAGCGAGACCCCGTCTCTACTATAAATAGAAAGAAATTAATTGGCCAATTGATATATATATATAAAAAATTAGCCGGGCATGGTG